TTGCCAGTGGTAAATTGCAATTTTTACATACAATATCAACCCTTGAACATCTCATGTGGGTGCGCAGGCTGTTTTTCTGACGCAAATAATTCCCCCCAATTTCTTGCCTCCACGTCGGCTGCGATTGTGTATGGCTAAAGTGCAGCTTCAATTGCGAAACACACTCCACAAGGGATTGATTGGTGCAGATAGAGTGGAAGTGTGTGACCTTAATTCTAAAATCGCCCTCCATTTACATTCAATTGAGGAGTCCCTCTTCTTCCCGAAGCGAGACAGATAAAGACAGCGCATTGCCGAAAAGGCCGGTGGCTGAGAAGATTTGGGTTAATTCCCATCACACTTCACACACACCCGAAATTGCCCAAAATGCATCTCGACGGCGACAATTTGGGCCACAGTGTCTTCCTCTTTCACCAGCGCCATTATGTTATCGCGGCCAATTGACGCACAAAGTGCACAAATTGCCCTAAAAGAGGACAAAAGCGCGCGCGCTTGTGAAGGTCGTTACTTTCAAATTGAGGGGAAATTTGACAGATATTTTGACAAGCAGAATCTCTCGCGGGGTCGATCAGAAAACCGCACTGTGACCCATTTGCGCTTAGTTGCTCATCTGTCGCCCCAGTGGTATTTTAATTGATTTTCACTAATTCTAATGCGCGATCAGTAAAAGTTTACGCGACAAGTTCACTGAACTTGTGCACCATCACGAGATTCTGGTCTATTTTGTCTCCATCTCTGCGCGCCTCGCGCATTTCCATCCGGAATATGGCTTTTGTGTGATGATCACCTTCGGGAGGAGAGACAAGATCGCCGCCAAGACCTGTTTGTGTCCCATTGGCGAAGACTGCTGTGGGACAGAACGGTCACGCAGCGCGATTGAAGTTTGAGGGGTTTTTTTTTCTCTCCAAAATATATATATTTGTTGTACTGTCAAATATCAGGCCAGATCGTCAATTTGACCGCAAACGATCAGCATTTGTTCCACATTTTGCAATTTCACTTCAATATTTCACCATGGCGCAAAAATGGCGGAGGGAAATGAGATCAAGTACCATCCAGCGCGTCTAAGAAGTCTCTCGCTCTCTCTCTAGGTGATCAATAGGTGATTGGCCTAGAGGCTATAAAACTGTAAAATGATTCTGGAATGGCCATTCCCAGACGCGAGCGCGGCGAAATAGTGCGAAATGTCTGAAAAATATATTCCAACTCTCTATATCTTGATCGCCACATTTTATTGGAGCGGTCGACTGGGTGAATCCGCGACTTTTGGCCAAAATAAAACGGTAAAATTTGTGAAACTCCGCAACCAAAATTCACGAATGTCCCCGCGGAATGGCGCACGCAGAGTGTTTGGAAGAAGGAGTTGCGCGCGATTGCGAAAATGTCACTTGCCGCACAGTTACGACAAGAATACTTAATCTACTGTTTTGACTGTGATTTAATTAAAAATGAAAATACTATTGCGTAACACTGCAGAGAATTGACATTTTCCCACTTGACTATGTAAACATTGAGCATGAATTTTCCGCCATATTGCCTCCTCACTCAGGACGCACGGACGCAAGGCTGGACAAGATGGAGCCTTCCATGGATTTGGGGTGCGTCGTCCTGACAGACAGAAAATCTCACTCACTCTCATTGCGCGAGAGAAACTACGCAGATCAACTGTGGCAATGAGAGAGAGAGAAAGCCAAGTGTCGCGATTGGCTGGCGGACTCTCTCACTCTCCTGCGCGCGCAGATCGCGAGAGAGAAGCGATGGGAGAGAGAGAGAGAGAGAAAAAGCACAAAAAGCACACAACTGACACACTGACCCCATGACGTCACGAGTGTAACGAACTCAAATCAACGAATAAGTCAACTAAATATAAAGTCTCTCTCTCGCTCTCTCGTTTGCCTGTTTTTCGTCGTTCGCTCTCTTCGTCGCGATACTCGCGCGGATCGCCGAATTTTTCGAGGGGAGATTTTGGCAAAACGAAGCCGTCCTCGAGGCTGGATTTTGGGGCACCTGGGCCCTAATCTCGAGTGTCTGTCAGGTTGCCACCTCAATTTCGCGACCTTATCTCGCACGGTTATCGGTCAAGAGACGCACTGGCGCTCTCGCGTGTGCCAAATGATGATGTTTCGGCATAGTGCGTAGGAGAGGCGCTCTCTCTCCCTCTCTCGCTCCCTTCGCGGGGATTCCCCGCGTGTGTGTGTTGTGTGTGTGGAATCCTGCGGAGGAATTCCACTGGACAATCCACAAGAGGAGACTTCCTGATAACACCATCTTTCTCTCTCGCCTTTCTTCCATGCACACCATTTCACCCGAATCACTCCGTGCGTGTGTATTTGAATGTATTCCGATAGCGCCTATATCTTGTATATATTTTTTTTCTTCTCCCCGCCTCTCTGTCAAGTCTCACTTTATCGTTCAGTGACCTTTTGAGCGCATTTAATTGTATATTTATAAATAAAATGTAAATATAAATCAGTGGCTGAGTGTGGGCCTTCTCGCAGCTCCTTTGTTCCTGGCCTGGCGCGCGCGTCGCCAGGCATAATTCCCAATGCCCCATCCCGTGAGTTGTTAGAGAAAGTCTCTCCCCTTTGATGGGACATACAGCTCTTCCTGTTCCATCTTCGGAGTCTGGTTGCTCGAAATTCAAATGAAGCCCAAGCACAATTTGACTTGCCAAGCATCTGCGCGCGCGCGCGCCAGGTCAGCAGATTTGTATGGCATGGAAGAGAGTGATTTGCACAATCTTCTTCCCTGTTGACACTGGAGAGAGAGAGAGGACGATCTGATGCCAATGCTAATCCGAGGGGCTTTTGGGAAGCTTTTTCCTCTCCAGTCGTCTTCGCATTTATCAACACTGCGCTTGTTTATCATGCACATAAACACAGAAGTGAAAATATAAAGTGACAGAGAAACAGAGGGAAAGAAGCTTAAAGAGATGATAATCATGATACACTGTCAAGGCGATACAAAGCACAAATAGAGTCAATGGTATTTTGTCATATAATTTCCCATCATGACAATGACGACATTCTCAAGAACATCCCCCAGAGAAGACTTTCGGCCCGAGGAAGCTATGATCTTGATGATGTGAAGGAGACTTTCTTCACCTTTCCAATGAGACAAGAAAATATGACTTAATTATTCAACTTTTCCATCCTGTAAAATGAGGGGTTTTCAAAATCATTTCAAAAGCCTCAAATGATGTCTCAACTGGCTCAACACCATAGCAAATTCCACCAAAAGACGCGGATTTTATGCCACTTAAGCAATTATGGATTGAAAGTTGATTAATAAAAGCCAATTAAGTGCCATATTGACTCTATATTTCGAAGGCAAATCTCTCATTGTTTTTCATCTTTTCGCCACACACACACACACACAGCGCGAAGAAGTGGCGGTCAAATGTGCGTGCTGATCTGCAGAAGGGAAAACCATCAACTTCCGGCTGTGTGGCGAAGGAAAAAAAGCTCACCTCGCGCGCGGTGTGAGGAAGTGCGCGCGATGCTTGAGGCCTTTCAAAAGTCGCGCGAGCGCGCGTCTCTTGCTCTGTGGCCAAGATTGTGGGGGCAAAAAGAGGCTAAATAAAAATAAGACGAGAAAGTTGTTCTGAGGAAACGCACACACGCAGAAAAGGAGGGTGGGGGGCACAGAGCAAAGTGATTCCGCCTCTCATTTGAGGAAATGGAGCTCCCCTTCGCGGTGCATCAATTAGCATTTTGCCATTCATCGCCGCCTTTTGCACGTGCAAAAGATAAACAAGTCACAGCTAAGGGGGTCATTCAACTTGCAATTTTCTCCTTCCATCTCGTGAGACTTCGCATATGTGTGTGTGTGTGTGTGGGTGGGTGGGTGGATTGGAAAATATTTCATCACTTGGCGTCACTTGGCGCTATCGCGAATTTCTGCGCTATAATTCCTCGGCCTGCGCCTTGTCACATTGTAAATTTCACCCATTGTCACACTCTTCTTCTCTCTCCGCACTTTTAGTGCCTCGCTTTAAACCCACCAAATCCATTATTGCTCCGGTGCAAGGTGGAGAGAAATTATGATGCGGAGAGAAAGCACTTTGTCACAAGCAACCCTCTTTCGCGTCATGTCTTGCCAAACCTTATCTATGATAAAAAAAAAACAATGTATTTAAACGGACACACAAAGGCTCGATGATGAGTAATGGCTCTGCCAAATTCCCCAAAAATAGCACTCCACTGTGTCCGCGATAGTGCGGGGAAAAAGGTCATTTTTATTGAATGTATGGCTGAAACATTTTGCGTTCTTTCACGAGATTTGTGGGTTAGAAAACTAAAGCAATTCTTTTCGGGCGAAGGTTTTGGTGCCGATAAAATCTCAGTTCATTCTAGAGATGCGTTTTTTTCTCTCCCTCGAAAGCTCATACGGCAAATCTCCGTGTGTGCGTTGGATAAAGTGTAAAGATAAGACTATTAATAGCATGTGAAAAAAAATTTTCCCACATCAAATTTATGGCGCTCTCGAAGGTCTTCGAAGGTGCTTTCGTTCGCAAGAAGATTCGTCTGGGTGATCGAATTATTGTGGACGGGCAAATATGGAGAAAAAGCTCAATACGTGTGTGCATAATTGGTAGAACAAAATTCAATGCACGACGACCCAATTCCTCTGCTTGACTAACAATGGTGTCATGGAATTGATGGTCGAAGGCTTTTGATGGCTAAGAAGAGATTTTCCCGCCTGACTGAGCTTTTTTCCTCACCTTCAAATGTCTGGGCTGGAAATTCTCAGGGCGCGAAGCCACGGAAAAAAAACACCCAGAAAAGACACTTTTGCCACACAGAAATACAGAATATAAAGAAGGGGGGAAATTCTCAAAGAGCACAAACGTGCAATTGTCATTTGATTGCAATTAAATTTGACTTTTTCCCCACTCGTGGCAAAAACATGGCAATTTTCATTGTGATATTCCACGATATATTCTTTTCTTTTTCCCTCCCGTTCTTACAATGTCTCTTTTTTTCTCATCTAAATTACAGAGTTGAACACACCGCACTCACCTTTCCCTGCATGCTGGAACCATCGAGGCCACTGCAATTAGTCTTCCAGGACATTTGCGTGTCCGTCCAGAAGAGGCCCATTCTCAAAGATGTCAGTGGCATTGTTCGGTGAGTCTTCAAATGTCACACACACACACACTTTTCGGCGGAATGCCATTGAGAAGATCAGGCGAGGCGAGTTGCAAAGGTTGCAGATTGAAGATCACACTAGAATAGACGGAGTTTCACAGCCAATGACGGGATGTCTTGCCTCTGTTAATATTAAATTCAATAATTAGTTTTACCTCATCTCAAAATTTTTCTCTATTATTTTCATGTGATTCACATATATTTGCTCTCTTTACATCTGTTTCTGACTCTCGTCGCCACAATCCAAATGTTCGATCACAGCAGAGTGAGACAAAGTTAATCCTCTCAAAGGCAAGTTAGCAACAGCCCAAGAAAAATGGTTGCTGTGGGATGTTCCAGCTGAAATATATGCTTTACTGGAATTGTTCTGCCAGCGTAAAACCAAACTTGTCTCAAATTTTTCCTCAAAGAACACGACAGTCCTGCAAGATTCCATGAGAATGTCGTGGGATACGGCGTATTTTTTTTGCAATTTAAACTCTCTATCGTGAATAAAACTACATCTGATAATTCACTTGGAGCTGTGCTGATCGTGCGTCTCTTGAGAGCACCATAAAGTGTGTGTTTGTGCGTTGCACGGCATAAAGAGGCGACGAAACAATGCGCGCCTCTCTAATCTTATCTACAAGAGCCTCACCTTCGCGCCTCTCAACTCGGGTCTCCCTTCATTTGAATAGTCGTAAAAAGGGAGTAAAAAAGGCATTGGGTTGAAAAACAATAATTTGTAGCATTGCTCAAATCTATGGCTTTATTATTTTTTGTTGTCATCTGCGCGAGATGTGTTTGGCCAGCAAAAAAAGGCGACACACAACAAACTGATTCCAAGGTAAAGTGGCCAATGAACTTTTTCCACAAAACCAATTCATCAGATGTGGAGAGAACTGATGATTGTTGGCTTTGATACTTTTATTTGTTGGTCACCAGGCATGTGTTATACTCTGAAATTTGCCAGCGGAGCTTTTTGCCGTGAGCGCCGCGCTATTGAATTTCCCCAAAAAAAAAAGAATTATCACAAAAATTTAATTGCGCGCGCGCGATGGAGAAAAAAAATCATCGCGATTGCTGATGCAGGCGACGACGCATGAAAAATTGGCAACTTTGGACTATTTATAAAGTCAATCGCCAATTTTGCCTCCACCAAACTGATGAACTTGAATATTTTGCAAATATTTATAGTTGGGCCGCACGAGAAAGTTTTTCCCTCTTCGCGTATATGTGGAAATTCCACTCTCATGATGATGGGTTCGATGGCAAAACACACACTGGGACGAGAGAGAGAAAGATAAAGCAAGACAGAGACACCGCAGAATCAGAAATAGCATCCCAAGACACATCGCATTAGATCAATCATCTGGGATCAGCCACTTTCGCGACATTTATTCACCAATAGACGAGCACGCGGTGTTTTATGAGAATATTCACACTCGCAGCATCTCAATTTCATGCTCAAAGTGCACATAAAACACAGGCAAATGCATCTCATTTCATAGTTAATTTCAATGGGCAATTTTCGCGACAACTTTTCGCGGTTCTTTTCAACTCATTCGCAACTACTGTGAAGCCACAATGTTAATAATGCTAATATTGATTGAGTGCACAGTGAGAAATGGGATGGTTTTGCATGCATTAGTCCTAAGCGATTTATAGCACAGCCATGATTTTCCCTTCGCATTCGATAAGATTGGAGAAATCAAAAGACTTCTTCTCCAATATGCATTTGGAATGTTCGTTTTAAACTGAAGTAGCCTAAATTTAGAGGGAAATGTTTAATTACTAGGTAGTTATGTGCTTAAATTGCAAATCGAAAAGTTTACTCTCGAACATTCTAATTGGAATTCGCGAGAAAAACATCCCGAGTTAGATCTTCACGCATTCAAGTTGCTGGAAAGCAAATTAAACAAATAATCAATAGTACAAGCTTAGGAACATCTTTAAACCTCGAAGAGAAACTTATAAAGAATTAAGAGATCATAATTAGGGAGTCTGAAAATATTTTTAATGTTAAGTTTCGTTTGTAAATAGCTCTAAAATATTTGATTAAAAATTGTGTAAACACAAATTTTAATGGGTTCTTCTCGATGGACTCTGATCGATATGAATTGCGTGCAAATTCCTTCTTTTTGCTACAATTTTAAGAGAAAAATAGGACTGATATGGACTTATTAGTCCTTGAATGATTGATTTTAACAAATTTTACCCAAAAATTGTGTTAAAATTTGCTTAAAATTATTTGTTGGTGACTTTAAAGCTAGTTGATTGGTTAGGATTTAAATTTTTTTCAAAGCTCTCTTTACTATCTTTAACACTTTAATAGTTCTAAGTAGAAATTTATTATTCGGAAATTATATTTGACATATCAATATTGTCTTTGTAATTTTACCATAACGACCATAAGTTAGAAACACCGCGATAACAATGAGAATGAACATGCAAAGTTGTATCTCTTATCAGCTAAGCTAGAAGAACCGGATTTTGAGACTGTTTATGCGATTCTAAGAAGTGATCTTTAGTTTTAGGTGCAAAATGTGGCACAATACACTAAAGATGTTGTTGACTTCCTGATCTAGTCAGGTGCGCGCCTCTTCTAGTCATTTCCCCCAAATTGGCTCAGCCAAATAAACAGATGAAAAATTGAGGTAAACGCGAGCAAAGACTCCGCGCGCACTTCCCATCGGAAGCTGTAAGTTTGCCGTGCCGACAAGTATTATTATGGACTTGTGACCTTTTGGCATCGATCACGACGCATTCCACACACAATTTCCACTGCGTGGAAAGATTGGAAAGTCGCTGGCCGACGCGTAATTTCATCAGCCCATAGAGACCAAACCACACACAGTTCAAGTGAAGGAGAGAAAAACATATACGAAACGATGAAATACACTTAATAATAGACCATTCACGCACACAATCGCGCGCCACGACATTACGAAAATCCACACATATTGTGTAATAATTGTTTTTGTTATTTTGATCAACTCTCGATGCCTCTGGAGATCGCGCGCGCGTTTCCATCATGGAAAATGGACAAAGAAGGGCCTGGAAAAGTGATTCAATATGCAATGTGTGGCGCGCGCGCACATACAAGAACACAACAAGCAGCTTGAATGGCTCGATTCTTCGTGAGAGTTTTGCCCGGGCAGCGCAATTATCGCCCCACAAATGACATGCATTTACTCTCAAATAGTGTCATATTTCAAATTTCCATGCCAATTAGCTGTGAGCAATATTTTACGTGAAAAATCAACCACACTGCCAGCAATCGTGGGCGCCGCGGTGTGATTGCATGTAGTAAATTGTGGTAAACACATGGGAATTGTGGGAAAAGGTTGAAATTGAGAATTCATGTTTTGCGACCGTCGCCATCGTAGCGTTGATTCTAGCTTCCGCCACAAAATGATTTCGGGATATTTCAACTCTGACTAACTCCAGCTCTGTCTGTGTTGCAGGCCTGGCCAGGTGCTGGCCGTGATGGGACCCTCGGGATGCGGCAAGACCACACTGCTGGATTGTCTGAGTGGGCAGCGATCCATCGACTCGGGCACGATCCGGCTGAATCGGGAGCGACTGTCGAAGAAGTGGCGACGGCGGATATGCTACGTCCTGCAGCAGGACATCTTCTTCGCCGGCTTGACCCTGCGCGAGACGCTCGAGTACACGGCAATGCTGCGACTGCCGGACAAGCTGCCGCGGACGGAGAAGATGCGCTGCGTGGACCACATCCTGGAAGTATTAGAGCTGACCCCGTGCCAGCACACCAAGATCGGTGACTACCTCAATCGCGGCCTGTCCGGCGGCGAGAAGAAGCGTGCCAACATTGCCTGTGAGCTGCTCACGAATCCCTCCATCATGCTGCTGGACGAGCCCACGTCCGGCCTGGACTCCCACGCCGCCACGTCGCTCATCTCATCGCTGCAGAGGTACGCGGCGCAGGAGCACAAGACAGTGGTCATCACGGTCCACCAGCCATCATCACAGATGTTCCACATGTTCGACCGGCTGCTGCTGCTCTGCCGCGGCCAGACGGCCTACTTCGGGGACGTGAACCGCGTCGTGGACTTCTTCCACGACATCGGACTCACCATGAAGAGTCACTACAATCCTGCCGACTTCATCCGTGAGTGCCCGAACTCCCTCCTCCCGATCCCTGAGAGTTTCCCTCAATCACGCTTTCTTATTCCGTTGCAGTTGAGCAAATCAAGTCATCGCCCGAGGTGCGAGACAAGATCATCCAGGCCGCCAGGGCGGCCAGAAAATCCTCATCCTACCCATCTGAGCTCAATCAGGACCACTTCACCAAGGATGGCGTGGTGATGGTGGACTTCCGGCATCTGCACAGCCTGCTAAAGGATGAGCGGATTGTGGCAAACGGCGTGGCGCCGCTGGAAGAGACACAGTCCGAAGAGGGCAAGCAATTGTGGATGGAGACGCAATCTCACTCCAGCTCGGCGTCCAGCGACAGCCAGGACGGCGACTTCTGGCTGGGCTATCCCACAAGCTTCTACACGCAGTTCAAGGTGCTGTCGCAGAGGAACTTCAAGGAGGCGCGGCCCAGGATGCTCTCCCGACTCAACTGGCTGCAAACCATCGGCCTGGGTATGATGGCTGGCGCCCTGTGGTTCCAGTTACCCAAGACGGAGGAGTCCCTGCACGACATCCAGGGCTGGATGTTCTTCTCGCAAACCTACTGGATGCTCTTCGCCCTGTTCGGCGCTCTCAGCTCATGTAAGATCTTCCCTTCGTCGCCAGAAGGCAGACACTAACTTGCATTGTCTTTGCAGTTCCTCCGGAGCGCGAAGTGATCAGCAAGGAGCGTCGCTCGGGCGCCTATCGCCTCTCGGCGTACTACATAGCCAAAATGGTCGGAGAATTACCACTAGTTGTAACGTTACCAGCAGTTTACCATTTAATTAGTTATCCAATGCTCGGATTCAGCAGGTAGGTATAGTCTGGATTCAGTCTCATCAACAAATGACTTAACCCCACTTTTCTCGCAGTCCGAGCTTATTTCTAACAATGCTGGCCTTTCTGCTCCTCAACACAATCGTGGCACAGAGTGTAGGCTTCTTCGTAGGCGCTTGCTGTATGGACATGAACCTCAGCATCACCGTGAGTGCGCTCTACACCCTCGCCACGCAGCTGTTCGGAGGTAGGCGACCTGAGCAATCCCAGGCTCTTGACTCTAGATCTCTAACCCAAGTGAAACTTCCTTGCAGGTTACCTTTCCACGAGATTTCCCTCATGGCTCGAGTGGGTGAGATTCACATCGATGATCCACTATGCGTATCAGAACATGCAAATCCTCGAATTCAGCGAAGGACCGCCCATTAGGTAGCCATATTGTGATCTCTCGCGCGTCCCCTTTCTCGGATCTCTAACCGCTTTGTGCTTTCTCAGCTGTGGCGAGCAGAGCAAGTTCGCCATCTGCACGACAGAGAGCCCAGACGGCAGCACCAGCAAGTACATCCCCGTGGACGCCATCTTGGACGCCCAGGGCTGCACGGCGCCGCTCTGGCTCAACACACTCGTCCTCGTGGGCTTCCTGATCGTCTTCCGCCTGCTTGGCTACATCGTGCTGCGCTATGTGCGGTGTCCCAAGTGACGCTGACGCCCAAAAGAGCGCGCCAGTGGCGCCACAGAGAACGCAAAACAGGTATTTTTACGCTATTTTATAAATGTAATTGAAAAAGTTGTTGAATTTTTTTTTATATACACACTGAACGGATAATAATTCATGCGAATTTGATCAATGAGAAAACAGCGCCATAGAAATGAGAAATGAGAAATATAATATATATATATATACTTTGTGATTTTGTGAGAACGCGTGACGAAAGAAATTGAGAAAATGTAGGAAAAATTTTCTATTAATGTTTAAGTTGAGAAAATGTGAGGAAAAAAAATTGTTCATTCAAGTATTTTAATTGTAATTTTCAACTATTTTATACACACACACACACACGCATGGAAAGAAGTGAAAAAAAAACAACATGAAATTCTTAGCATTTAAGAACTTCTCTCGAAAACGCCCCACAATTTCCCAGAATTTTTTTTTGTTTTTCAATTAGAATTTAAACTATGAAGAAAAAAAGATTGTAATTTTGGGGAGAAATTCATGAAAAGAAGTCTGAGCAAAATAATCGTGATAAAGGCAAAAAAATGTTTTTTTTTTTTGATAAATAGATGAGAAAACCCTTTCTTTTGTTAAGAGTTAGGAGGTAAAAAAAGAAGAAAAAAACAAGGACGAACCAAGTAGAAAATAGTGTGGAATAACGTTTATATTTACTATGGTGGGACCTTAGAAGAAGAAAAAAAAACTGTGCCAAATTAATTGTATAAAAGCGAGAGAGTAGAAAAAACGCTGGAGTTTTACTCCTTTTTGTATTTTCTAATTAGGAAAAAAAAAGAAAAACGAGAGAGAGAGAATTGATTAATAAGAATGGCGAGGTGATTACCATTTTAATTACTTGTGGGAGGAAAAATTGAAAGGAAAAAAAAGATATGAGAAATATTTATCACAAAGTGTTACTGTTAAGGGAAGTTATGAGGAAAAAAAGGATACACAGAAGACGCAAAAAGAGTGTGTAAAATGATGAATAACTAACCGAATACTGCCTGAAGCTTTTTTTTATACAATATACTGAAAAAAAGAACTATTTTCTAGTTATAAATTAGAATTTATATTACCGATTAGTAGTGAAGAAATGAAAATAGACAAATCAATATCCGAATATTTCAACTCTTAGCTCTTAAGGGATATTTTTTATATAAATCATAGTTTTTAGTGAAAAAGAATTATAAAAAAAACAACCGATAATCGCGTGAATGCGGAATGTGAGTGCGAGATTTGCGTGAGTCTTGTTGATTTTGTTAATTTTTATATAAAAAAAAGAAGGAAAGAAAAGAGAGAGAAAACGTTTAAGATCTACATTTTTAGTAGTCAAAGAAAGCAAATAATTCTATGCACACAGATTTATTCCTTGTCTCTTTTTTTCATTTATTATCCTTAATTTGTTCATAATCTATAAGCATTTATTAAAGTGAGTTTCGATTGATGACGATATTATGAAGAAAGAAACAAAAAGAAGTGAAAGAAGTGACGAAAGATCGACTTTTACACTGTGTTTTTTTTTATTATTTTGAAAAGAAAGTGTTTTTATTATTTCATTTGTAGAAGAGAGAAGAGAAGAAAAATCTTTTGTATGATTTTACATTCTAGGCACTATTATATTGAAATTTTTTCGCTAGGTTAATCTCTCAACATTTACTTTATGCAGTTACTCATTTTTAAATTATATTATTTGAAAGAATGAAAAATACAATAATTTTAAATTAAAAAAGCAACGTCTTTTGATTTTCCATTCCCTGCAATTCAACAGTTTTGAACAAATCTTCAATCACGGAACAGATTTTTACGATTTTTGGATTTAATTTTTTTCAAACCTAAAGTTTTTTAAAAAATAAAATTTATTATTTCTGTCTGAATGAGAATCTGGCATCAATAAAAGACTTTCTATTAAACCTTTTACTTCTTTTTATTGGCCACATTTCCTCCATAAACGCCAATCCACCTCTTCTGGCTCTGCTTGAACTCCTCCACGTGAAGTTTCTTGCTGACAATGAAGCCAAATTGCGTGCTCTGCAGCTTATTCATCTTCTCCGTCAATTCCGCCACAATTCTCTGTCTCACTTCCGGCGCTGACGCCTCGAAGAGTCTCTCAACGGTTCTGGAACCGAACTTATTCACCGCCAGATCGATGTAGAAGTTCTGCAGATGCTTCACAAACGCCACGCGTGACTTCTCGCCAACGTGAGGTGAGGAGAAGAAGGCGTCAACAATGAAAGAGCCCTTGGCAGTGTTGAGAAGCCCAACAAGTTGATCTGGCGCGATGGCGAGGACGCTTTGGATGATTTCAATGGGTTTCCGGAAGTTCAGCAAGTCTTGAAGGATCAGAGAACCGTGAAGATGGATGAATGTGGAAGAGTCTTCGAGGATCTTCTCATGAGGTTTGAGTTTGAGGATGCAAGTGACCAGATTTCCCTCCTTAGGACACTCTAGAGCCTTCCGGACACCCTGAAAGAGACCAATTGACTCGACATTACAGACTTTTGAGGAAGAATGCTCTGAAACTCACTCTAACAAACTGATGCTGATTCATCTCCAGCCGCTTGCACGCCTGGCAGAGTGACAGAATCACTCCCGTGTGTCCAATCTGCAGGATCTCCCCAAAGTGTCCCTCCAGTTCGCCAAAGCAAACGCTGAATTCATCCTTATTCTCAACTTTCTCCAGGATTTTCTGCACAGAGAAATTAGCCGACTTGAGAAGACTCAATTCCAGGAAATTTCCCTGAAACAGCCTCAGAAAGATCTTCGTGAAGAGCTTCTTTCCGGCCGAAGCGATGAGAACTTCCAGGAATCTGATTGAGCTCTCAGTGGAGAAGAGTTTGTGGAGTTTCTTCTCATTTTCCTCCTCTTTCGACTGCTCTTCAGTGAAGAATCCGCCCAAGGACTTCAAGGAGTTCTTGTCGATACGCTGCAATGCAGTAACCAGAGCCTGAAGAAGTCCTGACGTGAGTTCTGAGTAGGGAAACGTGGAGAAGAACGGCCAATCGCGAAGGCGACTCACGAATTCCTGGGCAATTGCTCGCCAGGCTTCTGGCACTTGAAATCCCTCACAGAATTCACCACTCAGGGACTTCAGGCATGTCCTGATGACGTGATTGGCATACGTGTCCCAGACAAACTCCTCCAGATTGTTCAGGAGGAATTTACTGCAAGATTCCACGAAGAATTTGCTCTGATTCTCTTCCTTCATCTTCTTTTCCGGAGGTTCTTCAGCCGTGGATTCACGCAAGGCTCTCACCGCCGACACAGAGATGAGTTTCTCCAGGACATGTGATGAGAATCTATTGGCGCACAGCGTCCGGATGTCTTCCTTGAAGGCTTTCTGATACTCCGCGAGATTGTCATCTGAACAGTGCTCAAGAAGGTTCTCAATCACCTTCGACGCAATCTGATGCGATGCCAGCAAAACCTCGCGTCCTCTGGTGAATTCAATGACATTCGTGGCCAGGAGTTCCTTGCTCTCCACCTCAGAATCCTCCTGGAGCACATTCAGAATGCCCAGGAAGTATTTGGCATCTTCCTCGCTGATATCCTGGTTGGGAATGTGTTCCTTCGAGCGCAAATAGTTCTTCACGCTCTTCCTGATGTGTTTTCTCTTTATTTCACGTTTCTTCATGCTGGAAAATCGGGAAAAACTACTATTTTCACGTTTGTTTTCTTTTAGCACTACACGTGGATTTGACAGTTTTATGACATCGCACATTTTGACACGCGCTGTCAAAACATAGAATTCTCCGATATTCTTATTGTGCTGTATTTTGAAAAAGAAAATCCGCAGTTTTTCCAAGTTTCCCACGGTTTTCCTATGCGTTTTGTGTAAATAGTACTAATAAAGAAATTGAATTGTCTAATTACAGACGATTTATCTAAAATATATACTAGAATCGTGCAGAAATCACAGAAATACAGCGTTGTTGAACAGGTAAACAATTGTTGTTTGTGTGTTATTATTAAAGTAAATTAGAGTAAAAATCCACAGAATCGCCATGTATTCGGATGACGAGAACTTGGAAGCGTCCGAGACAAATGAGCTCATTATGGGCGTCCTGAGGGAGCTGAAGGACATCAAGCAGACGCTGGCGGACCACACGAAAATATTGGAAGAGCTTCAGGCTTCTGTGCACACGATGCCGAACAATTTCGAGGCGGAGTGCCAGTATTTCCCTATCTCCTCATTCGAGGATCTGGAGGGGGTGGAGGAGATGATGGGGGTCAGCGCCACCCGGGAATATCTCACCACACAGATGAGGACAATGCTCACAATTGGCGACACGAATTGGCTGTCGAGACTGATGAACGACGAATTGCTGGAGGAGTTCAACACGACTGGAATTCATGGGAAGAAGAATCTGTTGGCGCTGCAGATTATCCAGACGGCGCTCAAGATCCTGAGGATGGACAAGGGCAGCGTGTCGTTTCACTTGAGGAGGACAAAGGACAAGCTTCAGAAGAGGAAACGTCGGCTGGACGAGAGCGAGAAGGAGGAGCAGCCCAAACGGTCAAAGGACAAGACAAGCATTGCTGTAAAATCTGTTAATTCCATTCCCCATGATAATGATGATGAACATGATGATATGTGAATGAATTATAGAGTCTTTTTCTTCTGTTTCCGGGGGTCGAAGGCATATCAAATCTATCAAATACTGCGCTCTTGGCGCGCCACCTGGCAGCTGGGTCTGCAAGAAGAATCCATTAAAAATGTTTCATGTTTCATGCAACCATGAAACACAATGGCGCGAATCTGCAAACAACGTGTGGAGAATTTTTAGAGAATAAAACACCCAGAAGTGTTACAAAAAGACTCTTTATTTACAGGTTGCGCCGTGCAAAGACTCAATCAATTGAACAGCAGCACTAGTTTGTGCTCATAGAGCGCTATGACCAGCATTATCAGTCCGCCAGCGAGGATGCCGAAGATGGCGAGAAGAGCGCACTTGAGGCTCTTCGAGGGAGCGCCGTGAGTGAGTTCCGGCACCAAATCGGCCAGGCCGATGTACAGGAAGGAGCCCGCCGTGAATGCGTACACCCACTTCACGGCGGACGTGTGGATTGTGATGAGGAACAGGCCGATGCCCATGCCGAGGAAGCTCAGCGCCGAGGAGAGGATGTTGAGGATGATGACGCGTCGCAGGCTCACGCCGGTCTTCAGCAGCAGCGCAAAGTCGCCCAGTTCGTGAGGTAGTTCGTGGCACAGCACGGCGAAGGCTGTGGTGATGCCCATGAGCGGATCAGCGGCGAAGGAGGAGCCAATGGCCAGGCCGTCCGTGAGATTGTGCAGTCCGTCGCCCAGGATGACCATGATGGCGAGCGGAGTGAGGGGCTTCTCGGCGCCGGAGCAGGATTTCTTGTCTGGATGGTGATTGAGCTCGATTTCCTCGCTGTTGGGCGGATTCTGTGGCTCCGCTGGGCCGTGCGAATGTCCGCCGCCGACCAGCGACAGGAGATTCTCCAGCGTGTACATGAGAAGCGTACTGGCGAAGGTGATGAAGCAAATCCACGTGGACGCGTGCGAGTGATCGTCGGACTCTTCCTGCGCCTCAAAGGCGTGCGGCAGGAGGTGCATCAGAGCGTCTCCCACGAGGGTTCCCACGGCCAGAGCGACCAGGAAGTGCAGGATGTCGTGATAGGCGGAGTACTTCATGAGCGGCACCACGCCAATGCCCACCAGGCCGCACAGGGAGATCACCAGGATGGCCACAGTGGCCAGAATGGGGCTCAATCGTGACATCTCCGAGCCCTCAAGCTTCTCCTCCAGCGGAAGCTTCGTCGGGCACGCGTTCTGGTCGAGCTGCGCCACCAGCGCCGGACAGATTTCCATGAACTCCAGCGGCGTGATCCGCAAGTGAGCGGCGGCAATGTCCTCGTCATCGTGATGAGCGTGATAGCTGGGGAAACGCTTGCTGCCCAGAACCGTGTGGATGAGGCGCAGCGGCGAGAGACAGCTGTTGGTTTCCTCGGGCGAGGCTGCAAAAGACAAAGTTGTGTGTGATGTATATTCACGGATCAGCGGTGATTTAGAAGAGATTCTGTGAGACTGATTAGGAAATTGCGCGGGAGACGCAGAAAGCTGATAAGAGAAGTACTTCTCAGGTGTGTTGCTTCACTGTTTGCCCATCTCGCAGTCTCTCTCGACTAGACGAATCTTTCCAGGAATTCTCAGAATTGTCACTGCGCGCGAAACCAGGTAAATCAGTGGTGGATTTATGGCCCAATGATGGGTTCCGTGACCGTTAATGAGGAAGTGGAATTGGAAAAAAGGGGTCGAGGGTTTGTCATTAGGGGTGAATGAAGGTTATTCTGGGATTAGAGTTGTTTTCAACCACAATTCCATATATCATAAGAATTAAGCCGCAAGCGCCGCGAGTATTTTTCTACACCCAGAAGATGATGAGAAGCGTACGTGTAATGATTGCAAATCATGCATGAAGCAAATATGTTTGTTTCTCTCACTCTGTGGCCAATTAACATGTAAAAACAGCGATTTTTGAAAAGCAAAAAGTCCCCCTTTTCCTCCCACTCTTTGACCACAAACTCGCGCTTGTGACGCGCTTTTTTTCAGCTGCTCGCGAGAACCAACAAGAAGAATGGTCAGGGACGCGATCTCATGAGCTTATTGTCCGTCGGCTGATGACAAATTGTGGAGTCGTGAGTGCTAAATTGCCCACACAGAGAGAGAGTCTGAAAAAGTGTGATTACCGTCCGTAAATTGGCTATTTACCGTGATGACGTCGGTGGCGATGCTTGGGATCGTGCAACTCCTTGAATGTCATCTCTGGCCAGGAGACACCGTGCCACAAATCACTCCTTATCTCATTCCTATTCGCCATCACGTCGGAGCTCTCGCTCGACTCCCGCGAATCGTCTTCCGACGGCAGCACTTCCACGAATTGGGACACCTCGAGGTGCTCAGCCACTGTGTGCTCAGGCCGGAATTCCAGGCCACCCAATCCCAGACTGTGCATGAGATGCTCCAGACCCTTTTTGCGCAAAAAACGAAACAATTAATCTGTGTGTTTTCACATTTTTCCACCTCTTCTGCGCCTCACCTCGAAAGACATTTCGCCGCGACTTCCGTATCTGGTGAAGATGTGCGCCAAGTATTTGTTGGGTGGAGATTTGGTGGCTCTGTGCGTGGCAGGAGTTGTGTGAAAGTCCTGCGATGTGATGACACTGAAGCTGCTGAACAGGAGAATTCCCAGTGTGAAGAATTGCCACATGATTGAGACGCACGTTTTCGCGTGACGAGAGCGGTCAATTGAGCTGAATTGAATGCGGGGGAGAATTGTTGTTCTCGCCAAAACTGCCACACGAAGACTGAAGAAGCCACTCGAGATGCGAGGCATTGACTTGAGGAGGTGTTTATCTCATGGGTGACACTGTAATCTCTCTGCATTAGTGTGAGGATGAAATCTCGCGATAGTAGACCAGTGATTCAGAGTCAATATTAGTGGCAAAGTGGGGCTGTTTTTGAAGGAAAACAAGCCGTTACGGTTTGGAATTTGATGAAATGCGCGTGAAACATTCAAATTCACACCTCGAAACACTCGAAACAGTAGAAATTCACGTAAATTTCTTCCATTTCTCCTCTGTGAATCATTTACAGTGAAATAATCTTGTTTTTGCGAATATTTTAGTATGAAATTAAATGTGTTTCCTGTATTTCGGTGCGTTGAAGAAATATTTCAGTGTGAAAGAGGCGGAAAAAGCTCAACAGAAGATCATCAAGTGGCATTTTTCCTGGCAATGACAAACCCTTCCATTTACAATTTCCCTCAGAATTTTTATTTTATGCACTTCTCAAAATCGATTATAATTTATCTCGCTCTCCTTCAGGTTTTGGTGGCTCAGCCGGTGGAAGTGGTCCCAAATATCAGTCGAGTTTCTCCGTATTTGGCATACAGACGAAAAGTTTGGCGCAGAAGTTGTTCAGCTTCTGCGAAGCGGCGGTCAGTCCGCTGTTCGGTTTGTGGATTGTGGCGTAGTAGACTGGGATCCCGGACAGGATGATGGCTGTGCCGATGCCCACCTCGAAGGGCGACACGTAGCAGGAGGAGATGACGAGGAAGCCGCACGTGAGGAGGAATGTGAGCGGAAGAATGAGATTCACCTGAAAAGTGGAGGGAAATTAGAGCCATTTCGTCCAGTACAGAGATGATGATGATTGTCATCTCACCTTGATGGGCCTCTTGGCATCCGGCTGCTTCTTGCGCAGGTACAAGAGTCCTGAGATGGAGATGAGTATGAAGAGAGCCTCCACGAAGCTCACGTAGTTTATCAATGCGTACACGTCGTCGATGAAGAGCAGCACCAGTGTGATGATGCAGAGGAAGATCAACGAAGGCACAGGCGTCAAGTAGTTGAGATTGATTAGCGAGATGGCGGCCGGCAGATGGCCATTCCTGGCGCCCACGAAGAAGAGGCGCGACGAGGCGAAGATGGCGCCGTTGAGCGAGCCGAAAGTTGAGCAGGCGACAAACAGCGGCATAATCCAGGCCGCGTAGCCCAGCATCTTGTCGGCAAAGGTCACAGCCACGGCCAGTGAGGAGAGGATCTCGTCCGGAGACAGCACGGCGAAATAGGCCACATTCGTGATCACGTAGACGATCGTGACCACGGGCATGCTGATGCATATCGCGCGCGGCAGATTCCGGTACGGATCCTTGAGCTCCTCCGTGACGAAGTTGAGGTAATTCCAGCCGGAGTACGAGAAGAGGCCGTTGTAGAAGGCCAGCGCGATGTAGCCAGGCGACGAGCTGGAGCCCGCCATTGGGTTCTCCAGATTCTGCGTGTTGCCGCCGACGAGGTACCAAATTCCCACGGCCACGATCACCAGCAGCGCCAGGATCTTCATGCCCGTGAAGATGTCCGTCACGCGAGCCACCCACTTCACGTTGTAGCAGTTGATGGTGGTGAGGAGGCCTGCGGAGAGACAGAGAGAGAGAGAGAGAGATTAGACAATGCTGATTTATGCGGCTGCGCGAGGCGACAAAGGAGAATTTCGAGAATTTCAGATGAATGCGAATTCGGCATGCAAAATTGGGATTTGATAAAACCATAATATATTGGCTGCATGTTATTTATGATTGCCAGAACGATAAAATATTGAGTCGCGTGCATTTTTGGCTTGAATGCAGAGCGTTCTTGAGGAATGAAATCAAGACAATAATCTTCTAGGCCAAAATATTTCTATCAGTGCAATCTGCAATTTAAAAATACATAAACATGAAAGAAATTGTTTATTATCGCATCAAAGGTTATCCAACAAGTTAGAATATCAAGAAGTGTATTTTGCTCGACAACTTCAAAGCCTCTTATGCATAAAATGTCTTCATGACTTCTGCGCAATGGTCAGCTTGATCCACTCATAGAACTTTGCGATGTCCACGAAACCCACAGGTGCTGAATAGCATCCAGCTGCGAAGATGTACGAGACCAATCCAATTTGCATAGGCTTTCCTTTGGGGCCCTCAATCACTGCCGGACTTCCGTCGTCAATCGTACAGGGAATATTCTGTGGTGGCATTCCATCCACGGCGCAGAAGCTCGTCTCGGGCACGTAATTGTACACCATCAGACACTCCTCCCTCGAGATCAGAGTGAATTTATTCCACAGCAGCTCCTCGGAAGCTGGCTCGGATTCCGAGATGTATCCGTAGCCCGTGACAACGGTTTTCTCGCCAACGAAGGCAGCTGAATCCCAAGTGCTGGGCGCCAATTTCACAGGCTTCACGCTGCCGTCGAAGGTGAAGGCTTTGGTCTTGATCAAAGCGATGTCGTTGTCGCGCGTGTGTGGATTGTAATCGGGATGCTTAAAGAAGTTGTCGCTGATGACAATGTCAGATTGCAGTGCTGCTCCTGCTTGAGTGCCTCCAGCCTCGATGTGATACGTGATGGGTTCGGAGTCGTTCTTCGAGTGCGCATAACAGTGAGCAGCAGTGAGAACCCACTTCGCATCAACAACTGATCCTGAGCATCTGTACAGCTCTGTCTCACTCCATGGCCCGCCAAACACGATCACGAGAGCATAGAAGGGAAATTCGCCCTCTTCAGCTGGTTTTGCGACATCAAACCGAGCTTCAGGAATATTTTCCTGCAAGAATCATGATGAATTGAAGCCAAGAGATCTCAATTGATCATTAAAACTTACCATTGAAGCCACAGAAAAGGTCAAAATGACCACGAAAACACTGAAGAATTTCCACATTATGCACGCAATACACTTTCGAAATCAATGTGATGAAGCTTTTCCACACTTACCGACTTATATACGCAAAAAAGGTGGAAAACACTTATCAATTGAGACCCGAAATTTAATGTATTCAAAACAATCCACTCAAGATTGGGTTTCCCAGAAAGCAGAATAAGGTTGTTGTGACAATTTTTATGGTCTAACTCGGTGACTTATGAGGCTAAATTTGATTGTAGTTTCCAAATTTGCCATGCAATCATCACAATTTATTAGACACGCTGTCCTGATTTAACACAAGAAACTTAATTCAGATCAAGCTTTACCAAAATGTATTGATTCAAAATTTGTGCTTCTCATTCTTACTCACACGAGGAATGTTAAAAATGTGTTACATTAATTTAACACAGTGTTTTGCTATTCTGTCTCACATGTGTTAAGCTACACATTTTTGTATCGCCTGAATGTGTTATTTTAAAACGATCTCCAGAGGTTTTTTTGTCAAAGAATATGTATAAAGCAGAGTGACAGATCGAAAGCTGCAAAATAACTAAAAGCATAAATTCTTTAACGCTGATTTACTAATTATTATTTAGTTTAGTTTATTATTATTATTATAAACTCGTATTTTAATAATTCTGTCAAAGTTCACAATTTATCTTGTGAAATCATTTTGAACTCTTTAACACTGTTTTAGCGGGAATATCAAGGGTTTGAAGATTAAACATTTACATGTTCGTAACTTAACATTCCCATGTATGAGTGGGAATTGCTCCATTCATTCACTTCCAGCGCTTCCAGCTCAGATTGGCAATCATTAAGCAAATCGCTTGAGCATTTGAGCGGACATTTCTCCTAATCCCCAATTTTTCAGCCCAGGAACTTTCTTCTTGAAAACAGACAAGAAGCGGCGCTTCTTTTGCTACTCACACGTGATCACGGCCGCGAGAAGGCGCACGGCGTCCAACGAGGCGTCGCAGTTGGGGTAGAAGGGCTGCAGCAGGTATTGCGCGAACGTGAGGGCGGTGATGGCGTTGCCGGTGGGCACCAGGATGAGCAGCGCGACCCAGAGGTAGAGAAAGGCCGGCAGGGGTCCGAACGCCACGCCAATGTACGCATAATCACCTCCGGATTTGGGTATCATTGTGCCTGTGAAGAGAGGAAACATTGCCTGAGATTGAGCAAATTGGCGTCTTCAATTCGTCTTGTTGCTCCAATTTTCTCTCTCCGGAATCGAGCACAATTATCATATTAAATTCGTTGAGAATTTAGAAAAGAATGACAAACATGTACCAGTTGGCTGTGGTTCCACCTCATCGAGGAGCAGCGCAATTTCGTGGCTTGGCACACTCACTCTCCCTCTCTCTCTCTCTCTGTCTTGCAGACTTTCTGCTGTTCCGCAAGGAAATCTCGCGGGATTTCCAGGAACACTCCAGGGCCCAGCGAGACTTGTGGTCAGTGAACCGCCAATTGATGATTACAAATAACTCTGCGATGGCGGGAAAAATGCGGCACTTCAGCATTTTCGAAGCCCAAAAAGGGAACACACACGCAAGACGAGGTCGCATGGAAATTCTGTGACGCAATTGAAGTGCTGCGGAGCATCTCTACTGGGAATTGGCAGCCAGGAAGTGGCCAAAAATAGACACGTGGCTTCGAAGAAGAGTGAAAACACTCAATTAAATGGCCAGCGATAAGGCTCTGGAGGGTGATAAAGCAGCCCTCATCGGCTGCCAATTGTCGAAATGTGGCAATGCTGGGCTTCCCAAGAAGACCTGCTCCGCTTTTTGGGACTCCAGAGCCGGCATTTCACGCCACATTCAAGCACTGCAACGAGACTTTTCGTGGGGAGCGAGGAAAATTCTGCCCTGGAAAACGAGCTGCACAACGAAGATGGGCGATAAATGCGAAAACAAGGGTGAACCATTTAAACACTTGTACTGAATATTCCAATTTGAAGTCCGTGTCAGTGAACTTCTTCCGATATTTTGTCTTTTTGCTGAATTTCATAACAATTAAGCGGTGATTATTCACTTAACGACGCCTTTTCTCACTCTTTTTGTGCTAATTACTTGATGTTTAGGCATTATTTCAGTAATTACTACAGATTTTATTACCTCATAAAATTGTTTTTGTGCTGTAATATCATTTCAAGAGAAATATTCACTTAAAAACCAATAAGAACAGTAGAAATACCTTAAGATTTATGTTTAAAATATAATACTTATAGCATAGGTATTGCAATATTAAGTGTCTTATGACAATCCATCTGTATTTCCAATGATAAATCGATTGTCCCACAGAAATCGAATAGAAAATTAAAAGAATGAAGCATTGAATTGGAAATGATTTTGTAGAAATCACACGAATATCTGCAAAAAGTTAATTATCTCTGTTCTGAAAGAAAGTGCTGAAAAACTCTTGCAACAGCTTTCTATTCCCTTCAATTTCTTGGCTTTGCCAAAATCCAAATCAAGTGTGAAATGAGCGTTTTTTGCACAGAAGCTTCGATCGCATTTCTGCGCGCGGAATTCGTCACGGAGAAGTGAAAGAAGAACATGTGTACACCAACTGTGCAATCAGTTGCGCCTTGGCGGTGTGCGCGCCAGAAAGAGAGGCACTGGAAGAGAGCGTGACGAGTGTGCGATGGTGTGCGAGAGCACATGCTCGGCGGGCAGGTAAGAAAGAGGGCCTGAGAAGCCGGCTGACGAAATCCGGCGACGGTGTTTCGAGAGGCGCCCAGAGTTACTCACCCAATTCGGCGTAGCACAGCGCGCCCACCATACTGAGGACGCCCGAGAGGATCCACACGATGAGCGCCTGGCCGATGGAGCCACTGTACAGCAGGACGCCCTTGGGCGACACGAAGATCCCGGCGCCAATGATCACGCCCACAATGATGGCCACGCCGTCCAGCAGGCTCAGCTCCTTCTTCATCTCCACGCCGTCGCTGCGCGCCTCGGCGGGCTCCGTGGGCTCCGTGTAGCTCACGCGCGGCTGCACGGCGGTATCCGAGGCGGACACTTTGGCCATTCTTGCAGGGGGATTTGGCGGGAGAGCCGAGGTGATAACTGGGGTTACTTTGTGGCTGGGAAAACAACACGAGGGCGCTCACACAATTCAAGTCATCAACAGGGGCATCTGAGAGTCCAGTCCAATTTAAATTGACCCCCCAAAAATACAGATCAGCACAGATTTAAGTGATCCATCACACTGCATAATCCGACACGGAAGACCAGCGGGAAGAGTCGTCACTTCCTGAGAGTGGCCAGGAAACAGCCCTCAGCACAGCGCAACGGGGTGAAACGGCACGAGCATCACTGAGAAAAGGCACTCTAAACGTGGTCACCAGGCGAGGAAACTTGGGCCACGCGTCTAGGCTGGGAGGCACGGAGTTGATGCCGCGTTGTCAGAAATGGAACTGAAGTGGGAATTCGGCATGGACTCACAGTCATACTAATGGCTCTCTCTCTGGCCTCGCAATGTTTTACCCACATGCACAAATCCGCGGCGGTGTGTTGGTGAAATTGCGGATGAACAACTACATTCACTCGTATTTCCGTGCGTCTCTTTCGCGCCGCTCTTCATCAGCCGTGCTGCTTTGCTGCTTCTCTTCTCTTCTTCCACAAACGCAGCGACGACGACAAAAAGAACGCGATTCCCGCTCATTTCCACACACGAGAAATCCCAGAAATAGAGGCACTCTTTCCCACTCTGGCGATAGTGACCAATAGATTGCTTTTTGGGTAAATAATCACAGCCGAACTGATAAGCAATCGTCCTATTGTCAATGCACAACACTTGACGATAAAATGTACATTTTCCACATTGTGTGTTGGCCTTTATGCAACAGCAATTCGCGTGATTTTCCTCGAAATCCTCCGTCAACATCTCTCCCATGATATGCAAAGTTGTCAGCTTTCAAGCAACTTAATCCGCACTAAGATAACATTGCAGAAGATCAGGAGGAAGAAAAATACAATAAATTATGGAGAGAAGAGAAAAAAATCCGTGCCAGCTTGAGCAAGAGATCCTCAAATCACAGCGATAACACTGGAAGATAATTGTGACAATTTCGCCAAAGTCCGCACATGATGTTTGATGTTGTTTCCGAGTTTACGAGCGATGGAATAAACAAAGTGTGTTTGCTATTTGCAGAGCGATAATCTAAAAAGATGGCTAAGAACAGCAAATATAAGAAAATTAAGGGTGACAAATAGACAAGGTAAAGTGTACTATTAGGCCATCGTTTTCCCTATCAACATTCCTCCAATTGAAGCTCATCCAGTCTTTTCTTCTTTGTGCTAAAACAACAGTTTCACGGGTGAAACAATATTGATAAAGGAATTCTATCACAGAAAGTGTTCCAATTGCAACGGAACAAACTGGGAAATTGCTGAGTTTTCCTCATCAAAAGCCCTCTGGAAGTGTTCATCTCCTTGTAGGGAAAGTGTCACGGCGAGCGAAATACACAGAGTGTCTCCATAAAAAGCCCCAAATGATAAGCTGATAAGGGAGGCAGAGATGATGTAATGGCGCACAGAGGGTATCGCATGGCGAGACGCCTGTGATTCCTGGCCAGAGAGAGAGATGATTGTGATGTGGAGAGATTTGGGTCGGGACAGCGCGTACGCAGTCCCGGCTATCAAAAATTGTGCGCACGAGTTATCCACATTAGGGATAATCGCAAGGGTCAGCCCAACCGAAGTGCAATGGAAGAGCCTCGCCTCGGGGGAACCGCCTTAATGATCACGGTAGCCCCTACGCCAGGTAAGTATGCTTTGGCCAGCGACACTCGCGGCTCTTCAACATACCCGCGCGATGTTGTGCTCACGAAGTATAGCTTCGAGTGGAAAACATCCTCTTCTTTGCACATTTTCACGGATTGGGTCAGAAAAAATCAATCTAATTGAGACGTCTGTTATTGAGGGATTGTCTACAGAGATGCCAATCACAGATGAGCGGACTTCCGGCTAGGAAATCACCCGGAAAATCTTCGCCGTTCCATCTTCACTCGCGCTGAGGAGGAATTGACCACTTTTGTCCAGCTGTATGTCGTAAATTTCTCTCCTGTGACCCAGGAAGGTGTTCTGGAAGGAGTAAAGATTAGATTAGCTTCCCCGGAAGACAGCGTGATTAACTACTGAGGCTTTACTTTCAGCTGGCCACTCCTTCCCTCGAAGGCCTTGATGGATCCGTCGAGAGTGCCGGCAAATAGAGTCATATTCGGCGTCCAGAGGAGCTCAGTCAGTCCAGACATGTCCTCATCCTTGCACTCACACCGCGGACTCTGGCGCGAGACGTCCCAGATGATCAGCTTCCCGGAAAGAGTGCCCGTGGCGACGAGCTTGAGCGCATCTGTGCTGGGAGCGAATGCTATGCACTCCACAGAACTGCCCACGTCGATTTTCCCAAGCGGACCTGCAGCGGAGGAGATCACCATGTCACCAGCAGTACCGCCGGACACGAACAGACTGCCCTCCGGATCTGTGGAGACGCACAGAACAGCATCCGCATGACCCAGTGGCGAATTGGCCGCGATGGTCTGCAAAGTTGCTGCCGTTTTGATGTCCCACAGCTTCACATTCCCATCGGAGTAGCCCACAACCATCTTCTTGGCGTCAGCAGTGAGGCTTCCGCACTCGGCCTTCGAGTTGTTCCCCTGGAGGACCTTGCAGTCGCCCGATGGGATGCGCCAGAAGTACACTTCACCACTCTCAGTGCCGGCAATCAAGACGTTGGACGCCCGGTGCCACTTCATCCACGCCATGTCGCCAACGCTGAAGTCCCAGACGCGCTTGAAGGCATCAGCCACCCGGAAGACTTGCAGGAAGCCGCCCAGATCGCCCGTGGCCAGGTAACTGCCGTCATAGCTGAAGGAAGCACTGACGACAGTGTCACTGTGTCCTTCGCACTTGAAGACCACCTCGCCAGAGTCTGTCTTCCACACGTAAGCCGTGTCGTCCTCACTCCCAGTCACTGCCAGGGATTCAGTGGGATGGAAATTGGCACAGAACACAGGGCCTGAGTGTTCCCGGAATGTCAGGAGAGCGTCGTCACGGACGGGCAGGGATTCCTCTGGCTCCTCAGCATCTGCTGCTGCTTCACCAAGTTCCTCGTCGGATTCCATGGCATCCACATCATCCAATTCGATGATCTCTTCAATGAACTCTTCCTGGAGATCATCAGTGTCGCCGCCCTCAAGAAATGCTTCATCGGAATTGTCTGGCGGCAGACCGGGACGTTTGGGTGAATTATCGGAACCCATTTCATGCGTTGTCACTGTGAAATGATAAGAAATGGTGAGACTTTCAGAGATTTCCAGGAGAAAAACAAACCGCACCTTTCCGGACGCACGTGCAATTGACGTCTGAGGCTTTTTGGAGAGAATTCCGGTAGTGGCGCTGTGCGCAGTCAGAGGGACAACAATGCGGCATGTGAGTTGTTTACACTTTCAAGCTTTGGACACATTTGTGATCATCCTAGAAAATGAACTTCCCACAGCTTTTCTCGCCAATTTCCGTGCAATTTCTCAGTGGAAGTCCCATCACAGTGATCTCCTGCATCTCAACTATTGATTGGATGTGGCAGAAGTGTGTGAAAACGCCCACAAATCGTCTCCTGAAATGACTTCACGATGAACCAGGTGGGATTTTTATGATGATGAACAAGTTCGAATAACCGTAACTCAAATTGATTATTTGCTTTTCATTAGGCCATCAGTTGAGAGAATGATGACTTTGCTGCGGGGACGAATTCCTCAGTTAATGAAAAATTCCCATGATGAATCTATGGAGAGATGCTTAATGGCGTGACCCAGATTCCGGGTCATTTCCTGTGGCCCCCGCCAGGAGTTGGCTGATTGATTTCTCATGCTGCCCGATCAACATTTCCGTGGATATCTCACACGAGAAGAGGGCCACAGTGAGAAAGGGGACAAAAAAGGAAGGCAGCGCGCGAGAGAGCAAAATAAATCAGGTAATTGTGTATATAAGTGAATCGTGATGAAAACTGGACACGTTTTTCACTCGTTTGCCGATCAGGCGCGCGAGAAATACAGAGACAGAGAGAGAGAGAGAGAGAGAGCGGGAGAAGAGTCTCTTATTCTGGTGTGCATTTCTGTGCCTCTCTTGCAGCTCTCGCGGTGTCTCGAAGCGCGAGAGTCCCGTTATTTGGTTGGTGTTTTGGACTCAATCCGCCGAGTTGCCTGGCTTTTTGCCTGTGGAGGAGCTGTCTTATGCAATCCAGCGACAGCCCAGGAAAATCGTGAGACGGAATCGGGCCAGAAAGCTCTCAGCACGTCCAAGGTGAGTTCACAGAGGCGGGCAATTGGGCGAAAAACGGGGGATTTTAGTGTTTTTCTGCACGCCTTTGGGTGCAATCACAACGTTCTATGCAACATTAGACTCATATCTTATTAGATAAGATGGTGAATCCTATTTGGATGCAAGATTGTGCTGTCTAGTAGTTCTTGCCTCTTATTTAGTCCGTCTTATCAGGCTTATTGGCATCTGGTGTGCGTTTGAACGATGCTCAACCCCTCAAGCATCGATACTGATCACTCATGACGTGAATTATTGCCCTCCTTTTGGGTGGAATCGCGCCTGGAAATGCGAATTGATTTTCGATGCGATCGTGTATTTGTATTTCTACCTCATTTCCGTGTATGCAAATTGATGGGTGATCGAGAGAGTGAAGCGGAGAGGCGCTTTTATGAGTAATGCCATCAATTACGAGGCGAAAATCACATGGTGGGCTGGCACGCTTTTAGTCGCGATGATGATTCTCCAGGCGACTCTCTGGGGAAGAATGTCAAGCGAAAATGTGGTCTTGATTATTGCTGATGATCTCACACTTTTAATCTCATCTGAAAGACTGCAACACGACAACCTTCAATCGCTGGCGGATGATTTCAGAGTGAGATTTTCCCAATCATGATGGCTTCGCGGCATTATTTACGACGACGATTGGTGTGTGTCCAAAAAAGCGCTCTCGCGATGGAGCTTTTTGCCTCGAAAAAAAAAGAGGTGAATGTGTGCATGGAAGAGTGAAAGACTGGGCGCAGAAGTGGAGGTGCTCGCGACGATCGTGAGGCAGAGTGAGATGGAGAAAATTATTCCGAAAGCAGCGAATATGTGCGCACCACCCAACATTTTGAGGTGAGCTGAGACGGTGAAGAAAAGCCACGAGTTAGTATAGGTCTCGATCGCGATGTGGTTGCGTGCAAAAGTTCTCTTTCCATTGCGCGCCAGCATTGGCAATAATATGATGGCAAATATCGAGAGTGAGTGAGAGGCGCGCGCGCTGCAAAGTGTGCAGAAAACAGGGCAGAAACAGTGCGATCGCGCGATCCTCAAATTGAGGACTGACTGCACACAAGAGGCAGGATTAATCGTCAAGTGGTGGGCAAAAAGGGCATTGATCAGGAGACGAGCTCTGTGTGTGTTTGTGTCTGTTGAATGGGAGAAAGATTGTTATCAATTCAATGGTGATCTTGACTTGAAGTGCATACGAAAAAAAAGGTTAATTCTCCACTGAAGTCTGTGAATTAAGGCTCTCAATAATTATTTTTTATATCTCGTGAATGCTAATCAGCCACTCTTGACACTCGCAATTACATTTTCCCTCCTCACCACAATCTCTGGGATGCTGGCTGGTTGAGTGAAAGAAGAAGAAAACGCACAGTGTGTAAATTCTTTCAGAGAGTCACAAATCATTCTCAAGTGATGAGAATGGATTGAAAGTGATCTTGTGCAACTCCCATAATAGTTTTCTTTTTTTTTTTAAATTCATTCTTCTTCATCTGCTGTGAGACAACGACACATTTTGTGAGGAGTTTGGCGTGCAGAAGAGGTGAGAAAACGTCACGTAACTTGTCTTTTGACGATGACGAGAGAAAAGAAGTTCATCTTTGATAGTCCCATTAAGTTTTGATCGTGGTGATCTTTTGCTCAACTCTGTTGGTTTTCGACTCGGTGGCGCGAGTGTGTGTTTTTCTCTGTTCGCGGAGGATGAAAAGAGGTGGTCAAAAATGCTCGTCAATCGGATAAAACAGTGGCGTAGTGGATGATTGTCTCACAATCCGCCAGAGAAAAACCTTTGTGGAAGTGTTTTCGGGGGAAAAAGCACAGCAAATGAGTTGTTTTTCCGGCTAAATTCATCAGTACTTCCCCTACGTCACTGTCCAGATCACCCAAAAGGTGTACAAGAAGAATCTTATACCGTTTAGAGACGCTGCGGTGGAAAGAGGTCTCACCTCTTTTCCCTGGGCTTTGGACGTGTAATAGTGGTTGACATCGCGAGGAGTGTAAGCGATATTTATGGTAAAAGAAGGAGGAAACATGGGAGAGAGTCGCAAAGACCATCAAAAATAACACATGAAACAAGAGAGAGAGATAAAGGTTGTTAAATTGTTGAGATATTCTGGCTTTCTTGGTGCTTTTTTTTACCATAACAGGTTCTCTCGGCTCTTTTCCAGCCCAACCACCACGAGATGCTCATCTTCTCACAATTCTTCTCACAAGTCCAAAAGCCTCTGAGGGCCCAAGAGAACATGAGAAATATCTCAAGAAGGAAATTTTCAATGGATTTTGCAGTGGATTTTCAATAAAAATGATCATGATTATAACTGAAGATCATTCATAAAGAAAGAACCAAACACTATAAAATTCATACCGCATGTTTTACGCGATCTTCTCGTCTCACTTTATCGTCGTGTGTGTGTGTGTGTGTGTTCGAAATTCCAAACATTTTGCCACAAGAGATTCTCGCGATCGCGCACAACATGCCGAAGAAGAGATCCAGAACTATAGTCAATCGATTGAGCATCTTCTATGACACACTTTTCACTTCACTTCCTCTCGAATGTTTGGGTTTTGCGGGCAAGTGTAAATGCCGTTGTTTGCAATTATCTTCAGTCCGATGTGATCAACCTTCTGCGGAGATGTTTTGACACCTTCTTTTCAATTATCACAGAGCGAATTTAAGCGTGAACTCTCCGAATTGATCAACGCACAAGGTGTTGATCTCATACACTTGGCAGAAGATTTATACACTCGCGCCCGTGGATTTAATTATCCTTGACATTTTTTTTCATGCAGCGATCGTAAAAAATTACTATTTATAACTGATGATTAGCTTAATTTTTGCATTTAATTAGAAATACACGCATTTGTTGCCTCTGTTCTTTATTCATACTTTGAATTTTCTGTATTATATTGATATATTCACGACCGTCGCCATCTTAGCATAAGTTGATCTTCTTGGGAAAACGGTGGAAATTAGAATCATTGATCTTCTGTGAGAAATTGCTTTCAGAATCAATTTTCCCTTAATAGATTCTTCTGAAAACCATATTAATGATGCATTAACTGTTTCCGGGCATGTAAACATAATTTCCTACTCTTCATGTGCTGACTTAAGTTGGTTTTCTCAGCTGCTTAAGCAAATTAACTTCTGCTTGTTTGATTTTTTTTCCATTTCTTCCGTTAAGCAAACATATGGAAATCTTCAGTCTTACCTCTGATCTTATCATAACCTTATCCAGATTAGTCTTTAACACACTTTAATCTTATAAGAAGGACTCAAAATTCTTGTGGTATAATTCTTAGTGTACAAAAGTGAATAATTGTTTTTATTGTTGACTCAAAGTGTTAATATTTATTCTCCGCTTTGTGGGCTTTGAATGGTCATTTCTACCTCTTCAAGAACTTTCAAAATATAGATATAATCAGGTTTGAAAGGCAACAGATTCTTAGCATCTCAAACTTTCTATTTATCTCATAGCAGATGATTGACAGTTACTTTCTTACATCTCTCTGGAAAATTGGGTCAATTTTGTCCATTTGTACATTTCTATTCATCAATATTTACTTTAGAACCCATTCAATGGCCAAGATTTCTTGACGACGTCTCGCGATCTGCCCAATTTTGCCGACTTCTTTCCCTCCTCAAAGCGTGTCACATTCACAATTTTCTAGAGAAAGAGATTTTCGTCTTTTTGCTCCTCCTTTCTGGACAATGACTCTGTAATTATTTTCTCGAGTGTGGTGCATTTAAAAGAAGTCAATGGGCTGGATTGGAGGGAAGAAGAGGAGGAAAAAAAAACGCTAATTGGAGAAAATTTTGCCTTGGCATTTTGTCTTTCGCGCGCAACATTCCCAATTGAATGCGTTCAGCGGATCGCGAGACGTGTTGAGATGTTGAGGTGATGTGAGAAAAAAGCCTCCGCGCACAAGATCCTGTTCGTAATTGACGTGGATGAAAATGTGTCTATATAGCGTCTTGTCTGGTGCGGAATCGAATGTTGGCGATGAAAGAGTGTGGTTAGATTTTGCTGACACTCGTCGTGATCGTGTGCGTGCCGCGTGTGTGTTTTGGTGGGGAAAAAGTTGCACTTAATGATCTTGAAAAACAGTCTCAAGCAATCCGAAAAGTGAATGCAATTGCGATGTGAGAGACTTTTAGTTGCAATTTTGTAAAAGAGATTTGAAAGGCATGATATCCAAGCAATTCATGCTATTTTTGCCTCAACTGCATTGACTAAATAGCCTTTTAATCTCCAGGTGTGGCGGATTTTTTTTCCCCTCCTGCCTGCCTCTCGCAAAAACACAAAAAAGAGCTCCTCATAAACAAATCACGACACATTTTCCCTCCCGCCGCCTCTTGGTGGCCCTCGTTTATTGCTCGCGATTTTTATCCATCTCAAAGCAAAAAGTGAGAGTGAAAGATTTTTCCGGGCAAAGATAAAGAGAAGTCGCCTTTTGGTGGTGGACATAAAAATAAAAATTGCAGAGTGTTAATTATCATTTCTTTTTATTTCGTATCTTACATTGGAATTTAATCAACGCGCGCGCTCTCGAGAAAGAGATGCTGTTGAAAATGTAAGAGGCCTTTTTTGCACTTGATCTCGATTGGTAATTTTTCAGGTGAAACTTTTTCGAAAGGTTAACAATGCAAGCGAAAATGATTAATTTTTTTCCATCTATTCTCGCATCTCTTCTGTGTTGTTTTTCTTTCCTTCAATTTTTGTGTGCTGTTTTTTTTCGGACACTGAGTGTGGGTTTTCTCGCGAGGATCATATTTAGTGGTGTTTCTGTGCTGAAACCAAGAGAGAAATGACTGATGAGCACCTCATGAAATTCATCGTTGAACAGTTGAAAAAGAGTGAAAAGTAATAGAGTGGTGATTTTCACCTGTTGTTTGGCGTTGTGTGTTGGATTGGATTGAAAAGCCGGAATCGGAAATCATCCTCTCTCTCGCTCGCTGGATTTCGAAGCATGAAAAAAAGCCACTGAATATTCAATGAGGCTGAAGATGATGGTTGGGGCGTCTAAATCGCTATGGGGATTTGTGTTCCTATTTTCGTGCTTGCTTTATTAAGTTATTCAAGGCATTTTTGCTCAGCACACTGAAAATCATCATTCTTTTTTCACATTTTCACTGCACAGCATGCATTTTACCACTCAATCTCGATGATGTTCTCATGAATGTGAAATTGCCATGAATCGAAATTCTTCTCTAGCCATGAAATGTTGGTGGAAATGATTTAATAGAGAGAAATGCATTTTCTGGATAAAAGTGTGGAAAAATTCGATTTATTCTATCATAAGTAGAATATTTTATTGCAAAATATGTCACATGTTTAAATCTATTCACTTAAAAACGTGAGAGAAAAGTTCATGTGAAGTGTAAAAAGTTGATCTTATTGAAATTGTTTGAATAAAATGTACTAAAAGAATATTAAAAAGCTACTTTGCAAAGTGATATTTTCTGTTTTTCCTATTAACTTTGCCATATTTCAGTCAAAAATTTCACTAAATACTAATAAAAACGACTGAAAAATATATGACTTAGTTTTTATTCTATCGCCTCTTTAGTCACAGAATCTCACTGAGAATATTATTATTTTAATTGAATTTAATGATCTCTGACAATCCGTGAACCATCTTAAACCGTTTTCAAATTGAGCAAAAGCTTTGATATAAATATTTATCCACATTTTATTGACCAAAGAGAGGCACAATTCTGAGTTTGAAGAGAGACGAGAATCTCACTGGAATTGGTTCTCAGGAGGATTTCTTCAACCGAAGCGAGCAAATTTGAAGATAACTTGTCTCGATAACCTGTGGAATCGCGATTGAATTGAGGTTTTCCCAGAACTTCATGCTAACTCTCATTGCTCGGAACATCAGTGCGCATTAGACTGTGAAGATCTTCAAGAGCCAATGTCTCTGTGCAAAATTGCAGAGAACATATTTTCATGATCAGTGTCGCTGTACATTTTGCATCTTGTCAATGATCACCATCATCTTCAGTCGTGAGCGATAAAAGTGACCAAACAACATTATAATGATGCAGTCGAGAGTTCAGGAGATTGAGAAGCCACGATGTGTGGCTTTGATACCTGTGAAAAGTCACATGTTGTGATTTCAACTTTCGAAAATTCATCTCATTTTACTTTCTTTCTTCTTTTATGCAATTTTCGATGCCGTGATTTCAATACAACAGAGTGTGTGCGTTCGGTTTTGTCTGCCCAGAAATGCGCGGCATTTGGACATTTACATAAACGCATGTATAATAAGCAATTAAAAGTGTGATTGATTTTTCCATCATTTCAACCTGACTTGAGCCGTGAGCGCGTCATAATAAATTTTTGCTAAAAACTACTCGCGGCGCTCTGGAAATGTGATGTGAATCGCGCTCTTGAAAAGTTGAATAAACTCGAAAAAGGCAGGAAAATTACACACCAACCATTGAAGTTAATTCTTCTCTCCACTCTCTCGCGGGTGTGCTTCAGTTTTCTTACCACGGCGTCGAGAGAAGGTGAGCGCACGTAATATTGGAGAAAAATAATCAATTAAGCAGGCACTCTTTCGCGAAATATGCTGATTGACCATTAAGTGTTGCCGATGCCTCTCTTCATTGGATCATTAGGCACGATGAGGAGAGGCATGTGCGGCGAGATTTGGCCATATTTCAAGCCATTTCTTATGCAATCCATGCCGCTTTTACGCCTGTCTTAAAATACCCATTTTTGCGTCAAAAATCTCAGAGATTCCCATTTCCTCAATTGGCCACCTGGTTGAAAACAATGAGCAAGTTTGGCAATTTTCAGACGATTGTAACCTTAAGATAAATGTATGTTCTATTGCGGCATTTTCGCCATACTGAATTATTTCATTAATGATGTTTGATTTTCGAGGTTCTTCTTGTGCAATTCCCATGAATTTTTCACCTCAGAAAAATTCTATATTCTATTGTGCCGCTCGCGGAAGGAATTTGTGGCAAAATGTGATGAACGTCCAGAAATTGAAAACAGTGTCAAAGTCACATCAGACATTATATTGAATTTAATATGTGTCCTCATTGCAAATGCAAGTGTTCGTCAAAGTCACGCGTGAATGATTATTGGAAATCAAAAGAAAAACAGTCGAGAAAATATTTCCTATGTTGAAAAATGCCACAAACAATTTCCTAACGCTGCGCGAATGAGGAAAACTCACTGAGAATTTATATATTTTTTTCCATAAATACATTTATTTTTTATTCTTCAAATCAATAGCATAATAATCACGGGGAGAAATTGTCCATCCCACACAGCAGCGAAGTTGGTGAAAATTAGAAATTTCGCAGTGGCGGAAAAAGGCGCAGAGGAAGGTAATTTACTTTGACACAGTGTCATCACTTTCATGTCTAATTAGCACATGTTGTTCTTCCTTGTGTCACTGCGCTTTTTTGGACCTTGTGGTGAATCATCGAGAGGGAGAGAAAGAGAGATTTGACTTGTCCAAACAGCGAATTAATTAATAAAACAATTACACAGCGGGTGATCAGTGAAGAGGCCGTAGGAGGGAAAATATCAATGATGAGGTGAATGGAGGACAGCAAACATTGTTGGCAAAAACATTACACGCATAGTGCATTTACAAATTATTTGAAGAATCCACAAATGAGAGCTTTTTGCTGACTCTTTAGAGATTATTTCCAGCGCATTTTCCACTCTGCTTGTACAATTCCGGCTTGGAACTGTGCTGCGCATTTTGGGAAGGCAAATTCTTCTTCCCTTCCTTTTTTTCCATTGCATTGAGCTCTTTCTTTGGGCATTTCGGGGTCGCATGACGAAGAAGCACGTGTGCAGAGAGACATGATAAATTTCCACTGGCAACAGTGCATCGAAAACACACTTCCACGTGCAATTTCCCGCTTCTGTGTGTTGTCATGCCCTATCAATTTTCCACGGAGTGCAACACTTCTCGGCCGCTGAACTATTTTTATGCAATTGCATTTCACTCTCTGCCGTCGAAGAATGTCTAACAGTGTGTCTCTGTTTTCCTTGCAGCTGCTTTGCTGCCCACAAGCGATCACGCATCGAGACCATGGAGTACGTAACGGTGGTGGCGGTGGATAATGGAGCTGTGATGGCGAAGGAGAGTGTCTCCGCTGAGGAGAAGTCTCCAGACTCGCCGTTTATAACAGTGCTGTCTATTGGAGACACGCCAGCGGCTGGCCAGGCGGCTGAGAATGTGGTGGTGTATCGATTGCCGGGAGAGCGACTGGGATTTGGGCTGAAGTTCCAGGGCGGCACGAAGAGCAACGAGAAGATCCAGCGGCTCTTCATCCAATCCTGCGCTCCTGACAGTCCTGCCTCGCGCGCCACCGCCTCCTGGGGCTTCCTCAGGGAGGGAGACGAGATTCTGGAGATTGACGGGGTGTCAGTGACGCAGATGACGAGAATTGAGTGTGTGCGATGTCTGAAGGAGAGCAATGTGGCGATCAAATTGGTCGTGAGGAATGGCGAAGGACGTCCAACTGACGATGCGAAGACAAACTCCCGGCCGCCAAAGCCTCCGCCAGTGCCTCCCAGGAAGCTGAACAAGAGGCGCATTGAGCAACCCGCTGAGCAGCCGTCCAGTCAATCCAGAGATCAGCAGAGACACTCCTTGAGAGCGGAGAATGGCTTCACACCTCCGCCAGATGCCGAATTCTATCTCAATCTCTTCTCCGAGGAGAACGACAGCAACTTCCGCGGGTCAGAGTCCGATGACACGGGCAGCACAATCTCCACAGTGATCGACAGGTGCAAGGATGTGGACCAGATCTCGGTGAGCTCGAGCAAATCCGTGGAATTGGCCAAAGTGCTAAAACCCTTCACGCTGCTCGAGAGAGAGTTCAATGTGGAGAACACGGGAAAACTGGAAGAGTGTCTCATGAGACTCCAGCCGCCGGTCAGCTTCCAGGACGATCAGGTGGTGATCGTGCATGGTGAGGCGACGAGAGTGAAGGTGGAGCCTCCGGAGAGTGACTATGAGAATGTGATCTTCCTGTCCACGCAGAGGCGCTCGGAGGCGCAGAAGTATGAGAACGTGACAGTGGAGCCGCTGCCGCCGAAACCCCTGCCGCGCCAAGTGATCACGGTGGAGCCAAAGAAGAGGACAATTGTGCCCAGTGTGCGTCCGCGGGAGTCCAAGGCGACTAAGGAAGTGTCTCCAGAGTACACGACAATCGAGACATGGCTCCAGGGCGCTCAAGAGCCCGTCCAGGTGGCAGCCAGTGAGCCGCCGGTGAAGCAGTGCATCAAGATATCGACGGCCGACGAGGAGGATGATGGCTATGTGGAGAGTTCGAGCGATGAGGAGGTGGAGAAGGTGTACGAGCCGATTCTCATGGAGAAGCGCGACTCTTCGGATGGTGAGGAGGGCGAGAAGTTGGGACCTCCTGAGCTGCTGGCCGGACCAGGACCCTCTGAGGCGTACTTCAACTTCCACTGGAACAGTCCTGTGATGCTGCCCACGATTGGCGAAGTGGAGGAGGAACTGTCGTCGCTGGAGCAGCAAAATTCCGGGTGAGTGCCGATCACTTTGCGTCTTCGCTAGAGTATAACAGTGAGTCAGACTCACTCTCTTTCTCACTCTAAATCCATTTTTCTCTCCGGGATGGCAATATAATATATTTTATAATAAATGTAGGAGAAAAAGTCGTGCATTTATGGGCGTCAACGCGATCATCGTTAAATGTCAATGGTCAAAAGATATATAAAGTGGTCTGAAATTCAGAATTGCTGCTGCCAAAGCGTGTCCAATGTACTTATAGTATGTGTGTTGCTATTAATTTGCACGGAGTGTATTGTACACAATATGAAAAATGAATATTGCCTTCTTTCCTCCTTTTGCCATTTCTCTGTGATGATGCTTTGGCCCCATTTCGGGGCCACCTCTAAGCTCATGTCTCTGAAAATGTTACTCACATGAACTAAATTGCACGAAGATTATCTTTTTTGGGTGGGAAAAAGGCGTGAGTGTTTTTTTTTCTCAATTGAGGGCTTTTTGTATTGATTGCAGAGTCTTTTTCTTACACTATAGATATTCTACTATTCTCAGCCTACCTCAGAATACCTCATTTTCAATCTCTTTCGGAGATGCTGAAGAGGTGTTGTGGAAGCAGTGGCGTAGCGAAAACACGTTTAAGATTTACTCTGACGTCAGCAGTGACATCGACGGAATAATTAATTATTAAAATGTATTCCATTTTCACGAATATTGGGGTGATTATATCACTATGATGTTGTCTTTTTAATATTGTCAACAAAAGTAGAAAGCAATAAAAAATCATGTATAAGATTAAGTAAGCAGAAGGCCAACCGCGCTTTGAGATCAACTGCTTACTTATGATCTCTTATCTAAGCTCAAGTTTAACGAGAATTTAAAATTGAGATCTTTTACTACCAATACTTTTTGTTAGAAAATTAAGAAGAAGATTCAAGAGCTATATTTTGATCTAAAGTCACTCAGAAGTGAAGCCAAATATTCATTCTCACTACAACAGTGAAATTATGAAATGAGAACTGGAATTCCCAGTGCTTAAATGGCAAACAGTTGCAGACAATATGATATAAAATGATTAGGTTGTATTTCGTAGTGAAAAGAGCGACAATTTGTGTAATCAGCATTGATAATCCCCCCAAAAGCTAAATGATTTTATGGCGCACTGGGTGAAAAGTGAGTGTTTATCAGTTCTGTGTACACTTTAGAGAGAAAGACTTGTTTGTGCAATTTAGATTAAGACTCTCGGCCACATTCGTGCCTTCCTCAATTTGAATGGAGAGTGCAGAGGAGAAGTGATAAAGTGTTGAGGCGTATTTTTCCTCAAAAAATCGTCACTGTTTGTTTTCATTGGGAATTATTTCGCTTAATTGCAAACACTCGACTCTTTCGTTGGCATTTGCTCAGGTGAGAATGTAATGTTGTCTCTCATCAGCAATTTCAATATAACAGGAATTCCATCGGTTTTTCAAGGGGAAGTGAATATTTCTTTACCTCATCATTCCCATCGCATTTAAATATCGATGGGGTTTTTGGACTCTCTCGATGCTTGCGAAATTCAATTTTGGCCGAAGAGTGTGAGAGATTCCCTTCCTACTGGTTTTTTTTTGTCTGTGGAAGTCTTCTCTCGCTTTATTGCTTTGTTGACTGTGTGACTCGTCTTTTGCAGGCCACTGGTCATCATCAATGGTGGCGAGGAAGTCGGCGGTGCATCGCCCGAGGGGGAATCGAGTGGAGTGGCGGCGGCGGAGGAGGAGGAGAAGCCAAAAATCCACACCGAAGCGGCGATTCGTGGCGATAAGTCAGATACTGGGAGACGCGATTATGTGGCGAGCGGCAGTGATAAGAGGGCAAATGTGGATGTGCCATTGATGCGTGAGAAGTCACCGTCTCAGGAAATATCTTCAGCTCCAGCGATCAGTGTGGCTTCAGACGCCGCCGCCGCTGGTGATAGTGTGATGGACGTTACAGTGAAGATCGAGAGGATAATTCTTGGAACTGAACACGGAACTGTGCCGCAACGATCGCCAGTCAGCGAGCCGAGTATCGCGCCAGAAATCAGGAATACAAATGCAGAGGTTGAGGACACCATGGAGGCCCAGACGACGTCCCCAAGTGCCCAGCAAGGTGAGTGTGAGAAAGATCTCTTGCGAATGTCACTCAATTTTCTGGCCGATTGCCATCGTGTTGAATTTTACGCACTGTGCCGCTCGTGTGGGTGGAAAGAGAGAGAGAGAGAGAGAGAGGGAGAATTGCATGAGAAATGGGAATTTCTCTTCCTTATAGTTCGCGCTGTGCGGATTTGTGCTGTGAAATTGCAAAGAGGAGTCACACAGTGTGTGGGGAGAGAAGTGCGTGCACACTCTAGGGATTAGCTTAAGCGGGACTGAGGCTCTCCACTTGCGTCCAATTGACAGTCCATGGACTGTTGAGTGTGAGAAGAGTCATGAAAACACTTTAGCACACAATTAACTTATGAAATTATTGACCATTTAATTACTTTTCAAATGAATTATGTGCTCTTCTGACGTCGCTAATTGCTTTCTGTGTGAGTTCTCTTTGTGAGACACACAATCGTGCCGATCTGCTGCCAAAGTGCAGTTTTTAGATATGTGCGCGCTCTAAGCCACAATCTCGACGGCAGGAAGTCAAGTCAGCCTCGCACACAGTGCGAATGGAAATTGGCGAAAAGTGTGCTGCTGAGGAGAGAAGATGGCATGCTGACTATGCGGGAAAATCGGGGACTGTCCTCGACCTCAAAGTCATTCAGCGAAGGCACAGAGCGAAGAGGCAACATTGTCCGGTATTTGATTTAGCATTCCATTCCTCTTCTGGATGGCATAACTAGTTCGCGACATAACTCACTTGATCGCGCACTCTCCAGCGTCTCGTGATCGCGGGACTTTTTTTCCTTGCCCAAGCGCGCCAAGAGGCGTCCCTTTGGTCAAATGGACTTTTTCTCAGGGCGCATCGCAACCAGTTGAGGAATTAACGTGCTCATTATGACGATCGCGGTGTGTCTGTGGCGCTCTCATCACTCTATGGGCATTCCATGGGTAACTTTGTTGGCAGTTTAGAGTGCGGCTTTTCATGCGAAAGCCACACTGTCATCTTTCTCCTCATGATGATCTGGTGAAGTGTACGATGTGTTCGGGATTTGGTGGCAAATCCAGTGCAATTGAGGCTCTTTTGCACACTCATTTCAATGATTTCAATGCAGATTTTGAGTGTCGAATGACTGAAAATCTGTTGCTCGCTTTTTATCACAATGTTCCTCAGGAGAAATTGACTTTCCAGAGAAATTCTCTCGGTGTGGCTTCAGGTCTGATCATACCGTTTCTAGTGCGAGGTGATAGATAAAAAGTCACAGGCTCTGTTGGGTGAGTGAGGGGGGAAAAAGCGCGTATTACGTTTGGTATTTAATTTATTAATAGATATAAAGCACAGCATTTAGCACACAAAAGAGAAGTCTTGCAGCATTGCTGAGATTTTACCTTCTTCCGGCACCACGACATTGGCTCTGTTATTATTGTCATAATCGTATAGGTTTCGATGCTGTGCATCGATGAGAGGTTGTGTGCGGTGTGATTTGAAACGACACAAAACACTGAATGTCTCCGCGGCGCCCCTTTTCTCCCTCCTCACCTGGTAATCTTTCACTTAAGTGGCGGTAAATGATAATTTATTGGATTGTAGAGCGGCACTCTTGTGTGCTGATCATGGAGTTCTGAGAGACTTGTGACTTCGGGTTGCCATCCAGTGTGCAGATTCGGGCTGTGAGAGAGAGAGGTGGTGTTGAGATGGCTCGGGAATGCTGACGAGTGAAGTTGAGGTAGGAGAAAAAAAGTGTGCAATTAACGATGTGCAACGGTGGCGGTTCAGTCAATTGATATTAGCAATGCGATCGACGAAGAAATGTGATCATGAGGTCAAATTGACTCAAAAATCATTCAACTTGCGCGATGGAGGAATGATGCCGGAGATTGAATTACACAACGGCATCGCGATCAGCGAGATTACTTCTTCACTGGATATCGGCGCATGATCTCGGCGCGCGGAGCTTCTCTCAAATTGTCGATCGCGCATGCTTAATTAGGCAAGAGAGAGAGAGAGATCATCAGCTCTCTTCACTCATTGCAAATTCACCCGATCGTCGTGGGCACATTCTTTCGAGTCGCAATCCAATTCTTTATTCTCCCTCGTGCGCTGACATTTCTTTAGGATACAGATGTCTCCTGGTACTATAACTCAACTATGCGGCCTTTTTTTCGCTGTGGCCTTTCTTTGTGATGGCGCGGGGCGAATCATGATCGCCGTGCTTGATGGAGGGATCATGTTGAGATCGCTTCTGACGGGAGGCACTGAGAGTCTCGCGCGCGCACAGCTCTTGCATTGGAGCAGAAATGGGAAGAAAGTTGAGCAATCAGTGATGTGAAATATTTGGTCGATGGCGAGTCTCGTGGCTGTCACTTCTAGCGATGGTGGCTGGGTGTTTTTTTTTCTCCTTCTTCTCCCTCTTCTTCTTGCTTTCTTTCCCTCGCAAACGAAACGGCTCTGAATTAGTTCTTTTCCTCATACTCGGCATAGCTTGTTCAATTTCCCTGCTGTCCAATTTCATTGATCACTTCCACGGCCGCTGAGAGATCCATGAGACAAGTCAGAGAGAATCGATGATGGCGCAAATTACGAGAGATCGGCGCGGTGAAAAGAAGTGAAACGGCGCAGCAAATGGGAGGGAAAAAAGCCAAAGCGATCGGGTTAATGCTCTGTGAAAATGTGTCTAATTAGAAGACAGAAGGAGGAAGCACAAAAACCGTGGTCGTAAGATCATTTTGGCAAGGTTGCGCTGCCAGTGAGAGACGGAGAGAGATGTGGAAGGGAAGAAAATTCATATATTGTCCATTTTGCATCACAGCGAAGAGAGTCTCTTCTATATATCGCAAATTTTTATGACTTCTCCATTCCATTCCTTCTCATCTTCATCCCAATAGCTTTGGACTTGGCGTTTTTTTTTCTTTGTCGTCTTGGCGAAATGAGAAGAAGTTTTCGGGGAAGACAGCGGAAAAAATCACATCATGATGCATAAATTAGCTGAAGAAGGCAGAAAGCAATAAAAGATTAATAAAAGATATACACATTATAGAGTGAGGAGTGAAGAAGTGCGGATGGGGGGAAAAAATCAAGCGGAAAGAACTGACAGGAAAGACAACGAATCATGATCAATGGCTTAGAATTGGATGAAATATTGAGGTGTGAGGGGGAAAAATGGGAGGCTGATTAGAAGAAGAAAACGGTAGAAGGAATGAAATGGGTGAAAAAACATTGAACATGCAAGATTTGGTGTCCATCTTTGGGATGTACAGTGGAAATTATCCAGGCCAGCGATTGCGCGAGAACAATACTGATCCTATCACACCACAGCTCGGACACCCCGTAGAATCCTCTGTTGATATTTATATGCGAGAATCAATCAAGAGGCACTTTTTTCCGTCAATTATTAATTTGTTATTTCAATTCTCTGGCTGGGATGGGGAGATAAATTTATTTTAATGGTATGCTCGCTAGAAACACAAACATTCCCGGCCAAAAATGACGATGGCAAACCACTGACCTCTGTTTTATTCATTTTCAATAATCTCTTTTTGCTTTTTTCCCCTTCCTTGATTGGCTTATGGATGCCATCTCTCAAAATATTGACTGGATTAATCGTGTTTTTTTTTTCTTTATTTTGGGTGTAAAACCGATCTTTTCTCGATGAGATCATCCTTGAAAGAGTTCGTTCCTGGTGTGTAAATGTCAATAAGTCGTAGGGGAGTGTGGCGATCCGCTGGACAGTCCAGAGGCAATGCGTTTTATTGCTCTTCTTGTTCTTCTTGAGACACGCAGAATCGCCTTTGCACGGGTTTTCTCTCTCTCGAGATTGTGGAGAAATGTGGATTCATGGATTGACTATGCGAAGAAGCTTCGCTCTCCCTTTGGCGATCAGATGGTGAAGTGAGCTGAGACGACTTGCCAAGGGCCTCTGCAGGGCTCGGCTTAGGAAATGTGTCATTGACCTTCGGGTGACCTTGATGGTGGGTCCCGGAAGGTGAAGAGCGGACAATAGATCACTGCAGGCTTAATTGTTTTGATTGGGACTCACATTTGAGGACCCACATGAGAGTGCACGCGTGCTGTGCCCTAAAACCTTGTCCGCGGGCAAAATTGTATGAAAAAGTGTGAGGTCACAGGTGAGATGTTCATTTAATTATTTTCAATTAATCCATCCAGCCGCACAGCCGTGAGGAGACGCACAAGGTTGCGATCTTCTCTTGGATGGATCTTACATAAGTCTCTCTCTCTCTCTCGCTGTGTCTTCATTTTGCGTGATGTCTGAAGTGGGAATTTTCATGAGATTTCCATCCTTGTGTCTGCGTTCTGATTAGCAAGAGGCCTATTGAGGTCCGTTCCTGATCTCTAGCCCTGGTGTGGATTTGAAAATGGGCAAAACACAGAGACAGAGAGAGAGAGAAAAACTGACAACGTATTTAAAATATCTCAGGAGGTTTCGCAATGAGTCTCGCAAATGCTGGACGGAATTCTTTGCCAATGGATATTGATGGACAGTAATTTTGACACGCGGGTCTGTTGCTTCGAGGTGTTTGCCTTAACCGGGTGATTTTTTTCTGCTTCACCTTGCACGTTGTCATCTAACGTTTTTTCCATTGATTGTTGTGTAATTAATAATATGGTTGAATTCTTCGATCTTTCTCACACTTTCTTGCTCGCCTTTTTCAGCTGTCTTCCATCAAAGCCCGAATGCCTTGTGTGTCAGTGATCTTATTTTTCGGTGTGCGCTCAATATATGATCGCATGCAATTTCTAATCTTGTCGGGCTTTCCTTTTGCCACATGACAATTTTCTCCTATCAATTGTCACTTTCGGTTTTATCTGCAATATGCCGCGTTGCGACTCATTAAGAAGTGATCCTCGCGATGCTGATCACTCGCGTGGATAATTCCAAAGACCGCGCGTTCTGTGGTAAAATGGGGGGAAGAGAAAGAGAGAATGAGAGAGAGGGAGAAAGAGTGGTAAAAGAGCAGACCACAAGTGAAAAGTGTCCAAGAAGAATCATTTTTCAATTAGGT